AGCGAACAGGCTGACTTCAGAAAAACCTGGAAAGACTTATATGGTCTGATGCTGAGTGAAGTGAGCAGAACCAAGAGGACTTTGTACACAATAACACAGCCATGTCATGCGATGACCAATATTGTTAAACTGAACCCTTCTCAACGTTACAAGGATCTAAGACATCTCCAGAGGCCTCGTGATGGAAAATGCTGTCCACATCCAAAGAAAGAACTATGGAAGCTGAATAGCTATCACTTATTTTTACCTTCTGTTGAGTTTTGTTTCATCTTTCTGATGGTTCCTCCTATTGGTTTTAATTGTTACTTACAACTTCACTAATGTGAAAATATGTTTAATAGGAATGTAAATGTAAAGCCTGTATCAGATTGTGTGCTGTCTTGGGGAGGGGGGGGGGGAGTAAGGGGGAGGAAAATTTTCAACTGAAAAGAATATGGAAGTCATTGTTGATAAATCAAAATAAATTAATAAAAGAAAAAAAGAAAAAAGACTCAGGAATAGCAGAAATGCAGAAGCATATAAATTAACAAAAGAATTACTTAATGAATGGATAGGAAGATAACTCATACAGAGGTTCCCAAACTTATTTGGCATACCATCCCCGTTAAAAAAAAAATTACTCAGCCCTCTATCCCCAACTGCCTTCCTCCTCCTCTGGAAATCTACTTTCTTTCATCCTTTAATGTTCTGTTTCTTTGTTTGTTTGTTTTTAATTTGCAGCATCTGAGGTTTTTTACTGCCCCTCAGATCGTTTCAGCTCCCCCAGGGGGCAGTATTGCCTACTTTGGGAACCTATGTACAATAAACGGAAAAATTTGAACACACTATAAGAAACGAATATATCCCAATTTTGAAGTTATAGATCATAGGATCATATATTTAGAGTTAAAAGAGACTTCTCAAGCTTTCTAGTCCAACCCTCTCTTTTTATGATGTGGAAACTGAGTCCTAGAAAAATTAAGCTACTTGCCCAAATTCACACAGGTAGTAAATGGCAGAGCTGGGATTTGAGCACAGGCCTTGACTTTTCCTCTTAGTAAGCTCTACCTACTTAGCTTTCTTAGATCTAAACACATTTCTCCTTAGGGCTCAGGGACATAGCTTACAAGATATCATTGAACCCATACAAGTTACCTATGTATTTTTCTTTCACTTAGATTATAAGCACTGTGTAAATAAACTAAGCCCTCTATTTCTTTTGGATTTCTCCACAATGCCTAATGAAACATGTACAAAGTCTTATGCTAGTTCACAGAAAATGAATCACTGAAAAGAGGAATGATCATTTTAGCAGAAATTATACTTTTTCAATATCAACTAACATTTATATTTTGTTTACTTCTTTGCAATTATAATCTTCCTTTTCTAGTATGAGACAAGCAAGATTATATCCATTAAAAAGCTAAAGAAAACTACTGATTCATCAATGAACAAGCATATAGTAAGCACTTACTATGTGCTAGGCACTGTACTCAGAATTAGGGATAAAAAGAAAGGCAAAAACAGTTCCTGATCTCAATAAACTCACATTCTAATGGGGGAGAGAACATGTTATCAACTAAGTACATGCAGGATACCTAGAGCAGATGGAAGGCAATCTTAGAGAAGAAGGCACTCCCAGGGAAGATATTATGGAGGAAGGGAGATGGGAGGAACAGAAAGACTAGCAGAAAGCAGAATTTAAGTTGAGTCTTGAAGGAAGCCAAGAAAGCTAAGCATTAAGTATGAAGACGAAGAGCTTTCTAGGAATGGGGAACAGTTAGTGCAAAGGCAGGGAACTATGTGAGGTAGGATGGCTGAACTGTAGAGTATGCATATGGGAGTAATGTGTTTCTAGAAAAGAAATGGAAAGACAGAAAGAGACCAGGTTGTGAGAAACTTTAAATGCCAAACAAAAGATTTCATATTTGAGCCTGGAGGGAAAGGAAGCCACTAGAGTTTACTGATCAAGGGTATGACATAGTCAGATCTGTGCTTCAGATAAATTTCTTTGGCAGCTGAATTGAGGATGGAAAGGAGTGGGAGAAACCTATCAGGAAGACCAATTATGGGGCTATCACAGTAGTGTAGGTGAAAGGTGATGTGGGCTTCAACCAGGTAGATGACTGTGTGAAGGGAGAGAAGAGAATATATGTGAGAGATAATGTAGATAAAGAAATCATGGGGCAACTAGGTGGTGCAGTAGATAGAGCAGTGGCCCTGGATTTAGGAGCACCTGAGTTCAAATCTGACCTCAAACACATAATACTCACTAGCTGTGTGACCCTGGGCAAGTCACTTAACCCCAATTGCCTTGCAAGGAAAAAAAAAAGAAATCACAAGATGTTACAACTAAACTGGATATATTAGGTTAATGAGACAGAGTAGTTGAAGTTGACATTGAGGTTGAGAATCTGGCTGAAAGGATGGTGGGGCTCTTAAAAGTAATAGGGAAATTCAGAAAAGGGGAGGGTTTGTGGAAAAAGATAATTATATGAATTTTAATATGATGAGTATGAGATCCATATGGGACATCTGCTTTGAAATGTCTAACAGGCAGTTGGTGATGTGGGACTAGGGGTCAGGAAGGAGACTATGCTGGATTGATACACATAGAGATAACTGAATCTATGGGAGCTGAAATCATCAAGTATGAGAGTAGAAGACCCAAAACAGAGCCCTGCAGGATACTCAGTTAGTGACCGTGACAAAGGTCAAGATCTAGCAAAAGCGACTGAGAATGAACTACCAGACCTTCTCATGGTAGGAAAACTGTAAGAACCATGAAAACCCAGAGGTTTTTACTGGGAATGAGGTGATTACCAATGTCAAATATTACAGACAAGTCAAGAAAGATAAAGATTGAAAAAACACCATTCAATTTGACAATTAAGAGATCCTTGGTAACACTGAAGATGACAATTCAGTTGAAAGATGAGTTTGGAAGCTAGATTGCAGAGGATTCTGAAGAGGGTAAAAAGAGAAGTGGAGGCATTGGTTACAAAAGTTTTTTTGAGTTTAAGCTGAGAAGTGGAGAAGAGATATACTATAATAGCTAACTAATTCTAAGATGAATTGGCTACAACTCAGGATTTTTTTTCCTTTATTGATTAGAAAATATCTGCTGTTTATAAATTATGTCTTAATTGAGAAACTTTTGATTTTTAAAAAATATTATTATTCTAGTTACTTCGAATTCACCTACAAATACATGTTAATATAAAAATGTGATACAGCTCACATAATTTACTTTATTCAATAATTACTCATTAAGCAAGCAGAAGGCACTATATGATGAATAAGTTGAATAAGAAATAGTTCCTAACCTCATGATTATTATCTAGTAAGGGTGATATGTACATGAAAAATCAGAATACAAAGCAGGAAGCATTAAGTGCAGAAGAGAGGTTTTATAGGACAGAGAGATCTCTTTTAAGGAGAATCAGGGAAGGCATTGTGGATGAAGGGACATCTAGGTTGGTCAGGTTGATAGGTTTTATCTGATGAGACAAGGAAACTACTTTTCAGCCACCGCATGAAAAAAGGCACGGAAATGGGAGAATATAGGAAATATTCAGGACACATGTTCAGCTTGACTTGAGGTTAGATAAAGCTGTTTGGAGCTAGAATGTGGAGACCTTTGAATGCCATTGAAGGTTTTAGAGTAAAGTAGTTGATATAATCAAAGATGTGCATTAGGGAGATTAATCTTATTGGAAGAAGACTGAGGGCTTGTCAAAAGCTTAGCAGGCCAATGGTGATATTGCAGTAAAGGGGTAATAGTAGTAGCAATAATACAGAGGGGAAGAATAGGACAGACATTCTGGAAATATAATCAAAAAGAGTTGACTTGATCAAATACAAGTCATGTGACAAAAAAAAAAATTAACTTCCAGGTTAAATCCATTGATGACAGAGAAGTGTGGTACTGTTGACTGAAATAAGGAAATTAGGCTGAGGAGGTGGTTTTGGAATGAAACAATGTGATCTATTTTGGAGATGTTAAACCTTATTTTACAATATACATAATCTATCCTTTCAAGGTGTTAGACATACAAATAGGATGTGGAGTAGATAGCTGGCAATGGGAATCTGGAGGTCAAGAGCTGAACAAACTGACTAGGCCGTTATGTGCATGGAAATGATAGTTAAAGTCAGAATGCACTGAGTTTTTCAGTGACAACGATGATAACATGAACTTACATTTATAGGCTGTTTTATATCTACAAAGTACCTTCCCTGCAAACAAACTTATGAAGTAGGTTTTTGGAGTAGAAAAAAGAGAAGGCTGAGAACAGTGTTGGGAGAATGTTAAGGGAGCAGTGGAATGATCTGTAAGTGGATACAGAGACAGAACAGATCATGCTATTAGCCAAGTAACTACTGCTTTGCAAAAGAAGTTTCCCTCTAAAAGCCACCTTTTTATTTAACAGTTATTAAGGACAGGAAGAGGCATTTTTGTTTGAGGTACTGATGTACCTTCATGACTTCAAGCAAAGCAACAAAGTATTTCACTTTTAAAAACATCATCTTTTGCATGAGGCCAATAATTTCAGTCAATAAACATTTTTGAATGACATTTTCTATCATTAAATTAGCTGCCCATTTCTGCATTCTAAACAGATAATGAAACAAAATTTCATTCTACATGCATCTTCCAACAAAAAGTTTTATATATGAACAGTGAAACAGTTTAGCAAACATTGATAAAGTCCCACCTGTTCAATCATTGACCAAGCAAAAGGTACTTTACGTTTAAAAGATGCTTTGGATTTAAGACAGCATACAAAGCACTTTTTTACTTAAAGATCGTGAAAGAATTCCATTATGTAAAGTAATAATTTGTGCTACAAATAGTTGGCAGTGTGTTATGTGTGTCAGGGAATGTAAAGGAAAAGTTATAGAGTTTCTGCCATTTGGAATATATTTATACTTCAAATTTTCATAAATGAATTTATTAAAACTTCCTAAATTCAAAATTCTTAAATATATGAATCTCAGATATCACTAAGGATACTTACATTCATGATTTCTTGGAAGCTTGAATTTTTTCAATAATATCCTAATCCACAATTAGACAAATTGAAAGGAAAAAAGTTAAAGACTGACTAAATATTTTAAAGCTTAAAAGTAATTAGTTATATAATATCATCCTAATGTTAGGATAGAGAAAGTATTAATAAATGTATACTATTTAAGTATAAGAGTGGTAGAAAGTATACCTTTAAAACTAATTAATTGTTTAACTGCTTGAGCAACAATTTAGTTCTTTCAAACTAAGCAATATGGAGAAAGGTCATTTGTATAAGTAAATGAAAAGAGAAGCAAATTTATAGGAAATAGATTTGCCTGGAGGATTCTACATAACTTTTGTGGGTTATAGTTATAATTACAGGGGTATAAAGAAAGCTAAATATTGAAAGAATCATCAGGCCTTCCTTAGATTAAATGATAAAATTCTTCTGGTATAACAAATAGCTTTCTTCCCACAAATTTCACATTAGTATTAAGCAAAATATATGTTCAATTTTACCAGTGATTATGAAATACAATTTTTCATTTAAAAATTAATAGATATGTTACTTATTTAGGTCTAGGAATCTCTCTATTTAAGATTATGATTATGTATTCCATTCAAAAGATTCAAAGCAGGGCAGTAAGATGAAATCTTAAAACTCAAGACGCAACGTCTGGCTTCCTAGCTTTGCAGAAGGTCATAAAACAAATAACTGGAGGTAGAGATTGAATAAATTGTAAAACAGCAACAATATTGTGATAGGACCAGTATAATTCCTTGTACAAAGAGGATATTGACTCATTAGAACAATGAAAGAAAAAACAACAATACTATCTATAACACTAAAGGTAACTAAAGCATAAAAACACATGTACATATGCAGGCAATACTTTTCTCAATTACAAGATTTTTGAAGAAAAGGAATTCTAAAAATATTTACTTCATTACTTTCAATATTTTGAAGTCACTTAAGTTTATTTTATAATATACAATATTATACAACAGTATAACTTTATGTGTATATATATGCATATACCTATAAATCCATGTATGTATACACACACACACACACACACATTTATTTGCTGTTGTTCAGTCATTTTCAGTAGTGTTTGACTCTTTGTGATCCCATTTGGAGCTTTCTTGGCAAAGACATGGGAGTGGTTTGCCATTTCCTTCTCCAGCTCAGTTTTACAGATGAGGAAACTGAGGCAAACAGAGTTAAGTGATTTGCCCAGGGTCACACAGCTAGTAAGTGTCTGAGGCCAGATTTGAACTCAGGAAGATGAATCCCCCAGGCCTGGCATTCTATCCACTGTACCACCTGGCTGCCTTATACATATGCATGTGTGTGTGTGTGTGTGTGTGTGTGTGTATCTATTTGTGTATGTATGTGGCAGTTCCCAGATCAACTTAGTGTTTGGGTGTGCCCACTGACAACCTAGGATAGAATTAGGAGACCTCTACCAGACATAACTATTACTATTTCACTGAAGATGATGCATGTTAAGCCTTGGAACTATGAATGAACTGATTGTCTCAGACAGTGAAGTTACCATTTTGTGTTAGGCCTGTCACAAAAAGAGTGAATTGTAGAGTCTATTCTTTAGAGAGGTTCCCAAAAAGCTGCATACAGACCAGAGAACAGACAGAAGCAGAGACAGAAGATAAAACCTGGGTAATAGAGTAGTGATAGGAGTGGTAGCATGTCCATAACCATACTCCATGAACTGCTAATGGCTCATTTAGGTTGTACACACTCTTTCATGAGGTCCAAAATAAGAGTTCTTAGACCCCAAGTTACTGGTTCCAGGGATGGAGACGCAGTGGCATAGATCCTCAGGCTGAGATGGCAGCAACGAAGAAGAGAACCATGGGGCTAAGTGACAGGAGTTCCTGAATGCCAGCTTTCAAGAGAAGTGTCAAAAGCTATGTTCAGCTCCCCCCCCACCCCGGGAGGAATGTCAGCCCTCAAGCTTAAACTTGCCCCATAAAAGTACAGAACTTGGGGCACTGGCCCACAGGTTACATATATACATATTTTTTGATTGATAGCAGAGTAAGGTAAATTGAATTTAGTTAAAAACTGGCTAAGGAGATTAAAATAGAAATATGATATATATACACATATATAGAATTCCTTATAAACATATATGCACATATACATATATGTACATATAATACACATATGCATATATATGTGTTTATATGTATGCGTGCACACACACACGGAATTCCTTGCAAAAAAAGAGTCTTTAAAAGAAAGCTCTAATTCTATAGGATATATACTTCCAGAGAATCCTGTTTATATTCCTTCACACTGACAGGCCAGCTATTCATTGTGTGTGTGTGTGTGTGTGTGTGTGTGTGTGTGTGTGTGTGTGTGTGCAGGGGGGAAGGATAAAGGAGTCCTTTTATTCTTGGCTCATAGGAAAGAATACCAGAAGGGGGAGGATATTTTTTATTCCTCTGTTTATACTTGGAAAGACACAGGTCTTTGAGACTGTAGGACAAAATGATTAAGAAGTAATAATCCTTTGAATTTGCTCAACTATAAAATGGAAGGTGGTTGAACTAGACAATCTCTGCATTCTATGATTCTTTGAATTTGTTCTTAATAACTTAGTGATATAGGTCAGCGAGGCTTTAGATTTGTAGTTCACATTTCAATTTCTCTCTATTATTTCATAAAAATCAGGAAAGTCAATATTCGTAGATATGAACAGTAATATTTTACCACATACATTACAAATATATCTAATATAACCACATCATGTTCCAAAATTTGTAGTAGATTCCCCTTTACTTTCTAAGTATTACTCAACATAGCAGGATTAAATAAGAGAAAAAAATTGGTTAAAGTAATTTTATCTGTTTTAATACCAATGACTCTTAATCTAGTAATGTTCAAAATACTGAAAAGGCAAATTACAGACATGTGGCCTTGAGAAACTTGTTTGTGGTAGACCTGGCACACTAAATCACTTACCAACAGATATGCTTACAAAGATCATTTCCTTTCAGAAATGTGGAACAGCTACATGTGTGAGGATCTCCAAGAAAAACCTTTTAAAGAAAAATACTTACATTTTAAAATCATAATTGTAATTAATCATCAGTATTGTTAGAGAAAAAGAAATAGGGCATGTTTTGGGGCTAGAAGAAATTTGTTCAAGGCATCTACTGCAAGCATTCCCAATAGGTCAATCATAATTTACTGGTCAATTTTATGTGGTCCAATTAAAAGCCAGCTACTGCTGTTAGGGTCTGATGCAGAAGTTGCATCAGCAATCTGCAGTGTAACAATATACCCAGCAAAGTGGTAACACTGAAGAAATCAAAAGTAGTTCTTCAGAAAAGGCGGGCAACTCCCTAATCTAGCATATTCTGTTTTCAAGTAGGTTGTCTTTACATTTTGGGCAGGTAGAAACATTTTTTTTAAAGTTTTCTTTAAAAATGAAAGCTCATGCCCATTGCTTAGGAAATCACAGGATTCAGAATTTGGAGATCAACTAGTATACCATCCTCACTTTACTGAAGAGACGACTGAGGCCCAGAGAAGTAGTTTGCTCAAGGACACATAAGTATTAAATAGCAGGACAGGGAATGATCCTGGACATTCCAATTCCAAACTCAATATTCTTTCTACCATAGTATTTAACAATACTGTCAAAAAGTTCTACTTATATCTAACCTAATAGGCAAGGCCTTGTGCTGTAATGTAATGGTGTCAAAACTCAAATAGCAACATGGGCCACTAAACCTTACAAAAGGCTATGGACTGCATATTGACTTAGAAAAACACACATTTACATATCTTTAAAAAAATGCATTAACACATTAAAACAAGCTAGGAATCACATTTTAATCTGGTTTGATCACCTCTGGGAATGTCATGGGCAACATGGCAACATGTGGCTGCAGGTTCCATGTTTGACACCTCTAAGTGAGCTAAGTAAGCTGAGAAGCCAGTAAGACCTGGGTTCAAGTCTGCTCTGACACATAATGGCTGTGTGATCCTGGACAAGACACTTAACCTGTCAGTGCTCTAGGCAACTCTCTTACAACAAGTTGCAGAAGTGGGAAAGATCTGCACTGTTAGAGGCAGGTTCTTCACCTGGGAATTAATTCCCTCTCCCTATTCTTTTATTAGGAGTTCAAAGAGTAGATACACTGTTGCTTATACAATCTCCTCAAAGAACCGTTTTTTTTAATAAGCAACAAAATATACCTGTGAGAAATTCATTAATGAGCTGGATTTATATTTATTAAAATGCATGCTTTTATAATTTTCCAATTTTGAAGTGGACACTTTCAAAAATCAGCTAAGAATACATGTTTTGTACAGATCTGTGACTTCATGAATAAGAGTGGACTCTGGAAATTCCCTCCAGCAAAGCAGATTGACAAAAGCTCTCAGTATACAACGTTTGAGAGTTATAAGAGGTTAAGTGACTTTCCTCTGCTCACAATTAGGAGGTTTCAGAAGCAAGAACTGAACCCAGATCTTTCTGAATCCAAGGCAACCTGTCAGCATTAAGAATATTTCAAAGAAAATAAAGACTTGTATGTACTACAATGAAAAACTGATAGATTTTTCACAAATAATGGTTCTAACAAAATTCATTTTCTAATAACTTTTTTTTGGGAAAGACTTTTTATGAGGAAATTGTAGTTCCTAAACTAAGCAGAAGGTGGAAGAACTGCAGAGATTGTCCTTAAAATATGGGCTCTTAGTAAAAGGTAGGTGGAAGTAGTACGGCAATAATATGGATAGAATTCAGGCCTTGGGAGTGAGAAAGACCTTTTTTCAAATCCTGCCTCAGACTCTTACTAGCGCTGTGACCTTGAACTTAAGCTTTCTGTGCCTAAGTTTCCTCATGTGAAAACGCTGGACATGGAATCAAGACCAGAATTTGAAGATATTCATTTGGCAGCTAAGTGATGGAGTGGATACCTGGATTCAGGAAGACTTGAGTTCAAATCTAGTCTCAGACACTGTGATCCTGGGCAAACCCCTCTGTCTGCCTCAGTTTCCTGATCTGCAAAATGGGATAATAATAGCACCTACCTGCCAGGGTTGTTGTGAGGATAAAATAAAATATTTCTAAAAAACGCTCTGCAAACCTTAAAATGCTATATGCACGGCAGCTAATTATTCGAAGCGTAACCACTACCACTGAATTTTCAAGCAGGCGAGTCACCAGGCTATCAAGGTGTGTCTAATTATCGCCATTTACACAAACATAAAGGGCACAGGTCACCCCAGCTCTCAATTCTGCAGCTCTCAGGATGCCCGAGGGGCCGCAGGGGCCGGGCCCGGAGCCCACACCAGGAGAAGGAACTTGGTTTGGTTTTCTGGGGAGAGGTCGGGGTCGGGGTCCGCTCCCACCCGGGGGCGGCGGTTACGCGATAGCTGCAGCCGCTGGGCTCGTCCTCGCTCAGCAGGAAGCCGGTGGGGCCCGTCTCCCGCAGCAGGTACATATGGCTGCTCAGGGCCTGGTCCTGGTGCCTCTCCAGGCAGTAGCTCACACACCGGCGCCACCTCTCGGACCCCCGCCCGCCTCCGCCGCCGCAGCCGAGGCCACGAGGCATCGCTGCAGCTTCTCCTCCGACAGCAGCCGCCCTGTCGCAGGCCCCAGGCCGGGATTCGGCGGCAGAGGCCGACTGGTTCCCAAGACAACCACGAGCGGGCGTGCTGGGCTAGTTGTCCAGGGGCTGTGTGGCGCTGAGCTAGGGCTGCGGCTGCGCAGAGCGGGAGCGCGCAATTATGTCTTCCCACCTTTCCCTGGCCCCTCCCTCTTTTCTTGCTGGCTTGGGCGTGAGGATTGTCCGGTTGGAGCCACCTGCTGGCGGTTCTGGGTGGCCTTGCCTCCCTCTGCCTGGGACCCTGAACTTGGAGCTACTTCGTGGCTCCTCTGCTCACCACCTGCTGGGGAGGAAGGGAGGGAATCTCTTTTGACAGAGTGGTCAGTGATTCCCTCTCTAAATGATTAAAGCCATTTGTCTTCATGCCTTCCCTAACCAACCCCTCTGGGCATCTCCAGTCCTCCTGATCTATATCTTGTTACTGGACCCATGTGGCTCTGGAGGAGAAAGTGAGGCTGGTGACTTTGCACAGCCCTGCCTCACTTAAATCCAATTCACTTGCACAAGTCGTGGAATCACCTTCCTGATGTCATGGTGGTCTTGCAGAATGAAGGACAAACAACAACCAACACCTCTTAATTCCAGTGCTTCCCCTCTTTTGTTGTTGAAGCATTTTAGAATCTTTTCAGTTGTGTCTGACTCTTTGTGACCCCATTTGGAGTTTCTTGATAAAGATAATAGAGGGGTCTTCGATTTGCTTCTACAGCTCATTTTCAAATGAGGAGACTTGAGGCCAACAGGGTTAAGTGGTTTCACCAGGGTCATACAGATAGTAAGTGTATGAGGCTAGATTTGAACTTAAGAAGAGTCTTCCTGACCTCAGGCCCAGCAATTTACCCACTAGCTGCTCCCCTTTTTATTATTTCCTATTTATCTTATATATAACTTGCTTTGTATATATTTGTTTGCATGTTGTCTCCCCTATGAAATTGTAAGTTCCTTGAGGGTGGGGACTGTCTTTTGCCTCTTTTTGTATACCCAGAGCTTACTAAGCACATCGTAAGAATTTAATAAATGTTTATTGAATTAAATTGAACATTGCTCAGTCTCCCATTAACACCAGTGGTCTTGAGTAGTCCCACTGAGTGGACACATACTTTCTATAGAGATGAGAGTGATTAGAACATGATTAGAACTTCACTGGTTGAGATTATTGGTCCACACTTAACTGCCCTAAATTTTTTCCAAATAATCGGGTGGCCTGTTGTGAACTTTAAATTTAACTTTGTAATTTAAGAGGAAGCTTTGAATATGAGTATCAATAGAAATACTGAGATTTCCAAAGTCCTAAGCAATACATAGCTCTGTGAAAAAAATTCACTTTTGTGTTAGAATCAATAATAAATTTTCATCTGAGCCACAGGCCTACTCTGAGTCTTCAGACTCCTTCCTAAATGATGCAAAGAGAGGCATTCTACAATTTTAATGGACTGCTAGAATGCAGGGATAAAATGCGTGGGCACCAACCACCCTAAACCACTTGTGTCTACATTAGAATTAGTAAGAAAAGCTCTTGATGTGTAAGCATCTAGGATTGTAATTAGTCCTTGTGCTTAAACTAAACATGGTAGTTAGAAGAAGAGTTAAAATTCACACTAATAAAGCAGAGAACTGGTGGGGATGATATCCCCTACTCCTGGTTTCCTCTTTTCCCTTAGATAAATTCGATTGGTCAGATTTGACTAATTAGACTCCAAAAAATTGTATTCCAAGGCAGAAAGGCAGGGCAGGTCAGGAAATGTTCATGAAATGCAGTCCAAACCTTTTCTGTCTCAGACCCCCTTACACTCTTAAAAATTGTTGACAACTACTCCACCTTGCCCCAAAGATATTTTTGTAATGCTCTCTGCATCTTCTTTGATCCTAAATTCTTCCTTTATCCATAGATCTGACAGATAAACTATTCCACGCTCTCTTAATTTGCTTGTAGTATCACCCTTTATGTGTAAATCATGTCACCATTTTGATCTTATCTTGATTTGCTGTGTGATATGTGGATCTATACCTAGTTTCTGCCATACTGTTTTCCAGTTTCCCCACAAGTTTTTGTCAAACAATGAGTTTTTGTTCCAAAAGCTTGGATCCTTGGGTTTATCATACACTAGATTACTATGGTCATTTACTATAATGTAATTTGTACCTAATCTATTCCACTGATCCACCACTCCCTTTCTTAGTCAGTTCCAGATTGTTTTGCTCATTACTGCTTTGTCATACAGTTTGAGATGATATGGCTAGACCACCTTCTTTAGCATTTTTTTTCATTGATTCCCTTGCTATCCTTGAGCTTTTGCTTTTCCAGATGGATTTTGTTATTTTTTCTAGCCCTACAACATAATATTTGATAGTTTCATATGGCACTGAATAAATAGATTAATTTCCAGTAGAATTGCCATTTTTATTATATTAGCTTAGCCTATTTATGAGCAATTAATATTTTTTCCCAATTGTTTAGATCTGATTTTGTATGAAAAATGTTTCATAGATGTGTTCATATACTTCCTGGGTTTGTCTTGGCAGGTAGACTTTCAAATATTTTATACTGTCTATAGTTATTTTAAATGGAATTTCCCTTTCTATCTCTTGCTGCTGGACTTTGTTGATAACATATAGAAATGCTGATGATTTATGTGGGTTTATTTTGTATCCTCAACTTTGCCAAAGTTGTTAATAATTTCAAGTAGTTTTTTAGTTGATGCTCTAGGATTTTCTAAGTATAACCTCATATCATCTGCAGATTGAAACTTTTGTTTCCTCATTCCTATTCTAATTCCTTTAATTTTTTTTTCTTCTCATTGCTATAGCTAACATTTCTAGTCCAATATTAAATAATAGAGGGGGAAATGGGTATCATTGCTTCACCCCTGATTGTATTGGTAAGGCTCCTAGCTTAACCCCATTACAGATAATGCTTGCTGATGGTTTTAGATAAATATTACTCATCATTTTAAGTAAGTTCCATTTATTCTTATGCTCTCTAGTGTTTTTAATATAAATGGGTGCTATGTTTTGTCAAAAGCTTTTTCTGCATTTATTTAGATAATCATATAATTTCTATTGGTTTTGTTGTTGATATGGTCAATCATGCTGATAGTTTTCCTAGTACTAAACCAGCCCTACATGCTTGGTATAAATGTCACCTGGTCATAGGATATGATCCTTGTGATATATGTTGCTGTGAAGAGGTCTAGGAGTTTTGGGGTGCTGGGACCCCAAGATCGGGGTAGCGGGCCCTGTCTGAAAGAATTCAACTCAAATCTTCTTCAGCCAGAGGAAAAGTTTATTAGTGGTAAGACATAGAGGCCGGGGTGACACCCATAAGGAGGACAAGCAGGCATGAGAGGTTCTCAGCATCTGAATGAGGGCCAAGGTGGATCTTAAATACTAAAGTAACTTTGGGTGGGGTTTGGGAAAAGGGTCTAGGTAACAATTCTAATTGGGGAGGTCTGAGAGATTGAATAGACAATGGGAATAGCTAATGGAGGGAACAGGAAGGCAGAAGCTTGAAAGACATCTGCACAAAATCAAGGTGGGGCTAGGACTTTCAAAAGGAGATAAGGGGAGTTGATAAGGAACAGTTTGAGACCAGAGAAGGCCTTTCTGGGGCCTATAGACAAAAGGGAGCCAGATTGTTTTAGGGCACATCTGAATAAGATTAAAAGGTAAGGCTAAGGGTTTCAAAGGGAGATGAGGGTCTGGGGCCTGTGAGTCACATTCCCTTTGGGGCAAAGGGCGAAGATCTTGGCTTGGGCCCTGCCCCCATCAGCTGTAATATCTTTGCTAGTATTTCATTCAAAATTTTTACATCAATACTGATTATGGAAATTGGTGTGTAATTTTCTTTCTATTTTTTGGCTCTTCATAGTTTGGGTATGTATTTGTGTCATAAAAAGAATTTGGTAGATCTTCTTCACCTAATTTTCCAAATAGTTATATAGTAATGGGATTAATTGTTCTTTAAATGTTTGGAAGAATTCGCTTGTGAATCCATCTGGTCCTAGGAATTTTTTTCTTAGGAAGTTCATTAATGGTTTGATCGGTTTCTTTTTGTAAGATTGAATTATTTAAGTATTTTATTTCTTCTGTTAATCTGGGTAATTTATATTTTTGCATATATTCATCAATTTCATTTAGATTATCAGATTTATTGGCATGTAATTGGGTTAAATAGCTCCTAACAATTGTCTTAATTTCCTCTTCATTGGTGAATTCATCTCTTTTATTTTTGATACTAATAATTTGGTTTTCTTCTGTCCTTTTTAAAATCAAATTAACCAAAGGTTTATTTATTTTATTTTTTTTCATAAAACCAGCTTCTAGTTTTATTTATAAGTTCAGTGGTTTTCTTACTTTCAGTTTTATTAATTGCTTCTTTGATTTTTAAGATTTCCAGTTTGGTGTTTAATTGGGAATTTTTAATTTGTCCTTTTTCTAGTGTTTTTTTTAGTTGCATGCCCAGTTCATTGATTTGCTTTTTCTCTATTTTATTGATGTAAGTAATTAGACATATAAAGTTTCCCCTAAGTACCACTTTGGCTGTATCTCATAAATTTTGGTATGTTGTCTCATTATCATTTTCTTTAATGAAATTTTTGATTGTTTTTATGATTTGTTCTTTAACCTACTTGTTTTTAGGATTAGATTATTTTCCAATCAATTTCTGATCTCTCCATTGTCCATTACTGAATGGAATTTTTATTGCATTATGATCTGAAAAGGATATATTTACTATTTCTACTTTTCTGCATTTGGTTGTGAGGTTTTTAATGTCCTAATACATGGTCATTTTTTGTGTAGGTGCCATGTACTGCTGAGAAAAAGATATATTCCTTTCTTCTGCCATTCACTTTTCTCCAGAGGTCTATCATATCTAACTTTTCCAGAATTTTATTCACCTCTTTAACTTCTTTCTTGTTTATTATTTTGTTAGATCTATCTATTTCTGAGAGAGGAAAATTGAGGTCACCTACTAATATAGTTGTATTGCCTATTTCCTCCTGTAACTCATTCAACTTCTTCAAAAATTTAGATGC